TCTATTACATTACTGCGCAAAGACTTCTAATTCCCTTCTTTTTAACCTTGGTAAGGCTTTCCTGGCCCTATTTCACAGGTTGCAACAACCCGTGTGGGAAAAGCCTCCAATTACTCATAATTATCAACCCAAATATTCACTACAACTTTTGTTCTAAATATTTACTACAATTCTCTATTATAAATATTTGCTACAATTTTCTATGATAAGTATTTACTACAATTCTCAGCTTTCCAAGCCGGGTGATTCATTATTACAATAAATAAATGCTAGATGATAATAAATAAACAATCTACTACACCTTTCTAAACCCTGTATCATGGAACCCATGACATCCTCCCTTCCTTAACCTTGAGCTCCTGCTAAGGCTTCTTGAAGGAGCTCTGAGAGTTTTTTAGCCTGAATCCCCCGGGCTTCTTCTATTAGCTTCTGAAAATCTTCTTTGGTCATTCTATACAGAGCATTGGCCGTGATAAACTAGTTCTCAAGAAGATTATAAAATCCTCAAACCTGATACAGTTGGTAAGCTCGGCTGGCAATTCTCCAAACTTCTTTTCCTTTAGTGCCTTTAATTCTTTTCTGGAGCTTGTTTTGAACCACTGAGCTCTAGTCGATTCCTTTAGCATATCTAGCAGGTTCTTTCAAACAGTCTCCTAGGTAATAATATTGCTGTAGAAGACTCACTTGGTCACACCCTTCTCCAAGGATCATTTCACATAATATATCGAGCTTCTCATTTCAAGTTCCCTCAGGTACGGGTTCAGGAAGTCTGGTAGAGATAGCGGCACGCCTTAAGTCACTTAAGTAACCATTCATAGCTCGCGAGAAAGGATTAGCAATAACATCTTCAGAGAACAGAAGATGAGTGGGCTCTCCTTGAGCATTTAAGAAAAATATTTCTGTGGCCGTTATACAAACTTCGATCACGTCAGTACCTTTCATTATTCGTCTCAGCTTCATAACATGGTTTAAAAATTGGGCGTTGACTTCTAATTGATTCATTGGGAAGATGGGTTGAACAGAGTTAAGATTCAATCCAAGGTTAATTGACTGGGTATTTATAGAGAATGCAGTCTGTTATTATATAGGGATATTATATCTTTTTAACCGGTTTCCATAAATCCTTATCTTAAGAACTCGTTCGCTTTTGAAGGGCTTTATCATTCTTAATTTATAAGATCCATTGCCACATACTTCGTGTATATAGTAGAGACCTGTAAACTTTGACTCAAGCTTGGCGCTATATGACGTATCTAAAGAAGTCTCATGCAGCATTACTTTATCACCAATTTGGTAAGTCCCGATCTGATACTTCTGATTATGATGAGCCTTTTGTTTGTTTTGGGCTTTTCTAATATTTTCTTGGGCTTGGTTTCGGGCATCCTCCAGGTTTTCTAGAACAGACTCAATTCTTCAGAAAAGATAATTTTGGGTCTCGGCTTCGGTAGTTGGCTCAGCTGGATATGTTATTACAACTGTTTTAACCGGTAATATAGTATCGCGGCTATAAACTAAGAAAAATGGCTCATACCGGGTAGTATGATGCCGAGTAGTTTGATAAGCGAACAAAGCTGTTGAGATAAATTCGATCCATTTCCCATCATATTGTCCAATACATTTGTCCAGTACTTCACATAAAGTCCTATTAAATCTTTCCACCAATCCATTGGTTTGGGGATGGTAAGTGGTGGATGTGCGACGGCGAACTTTCATCTGTTTACAAATAGCATCCACTAGTTTATTACAAAAGTGAGTACCCTGATTAGAGAGTAGCTCACGGGGACTTCTGTGGTAGCATATTATATCATCCAAAAAGAAAAAGGCAACAGATTCAGCATCAGCACTTTTAAGTGCACGGGCCTCTGGCCACTTGGTAAGATAATCTGTGGCTACAACTATATAATGATATCCTTCTGGTGTTTCTGGAAGCGGACCTACAATATCAATGCCAATCTGATCAAAGGGCTGACCTACTTTTATCGGATGCAATGGTTCTCGAGTCTTAGGCCTCTCTCGTCTTTGACATGTGTCGCAAGCTCCAATATATCGTTTTACATCGTTCCTCATCTTGGGCCAATAATACCTAATCATTATTCGTTGATAAGTTCCTTCATATCCAAAATGTCTGGCTAAGAGGTCGCATGCATAGCATGTAGTATAGGTTTGATTTCATGAGGTTTTAAAACTCTTTGAGGCCTCTCAGGATCACATGAGTTGATTTTATATAACAATTTACTTTGAACAAAGTAATGCCGGGTTTTGTGTTTCAAGACTTTATCACTATAGTTTGGGGTACCTTAAACCTGCTAAGATATTCTGTAAAAAAATTATACATTTCTAAATCCATCTAAATCAAAATAGGTTTTTCGTAATCGGCATCGGTATATCGTATTTAGAGAGAAAAATTTATATGATAGGCCTTTGGCCTGTAGCCTTAAATTCGAGATAGACTATCGCATTAAGATGTAATTTTCCTGACTTATAAATGGTGGTAAATAAATACTCCTGCAAGATCAGGATCCACCTGACCAGTCTGTTTTGGGGTAACCGATGAGAAAATAATGATTTCAACGCCAAATGGTTGGTATAAAGAGTAAAATAAGATTTGTGAAGATAAGGCCTAAAGTATGAGACTGCCCAGACTATAGCAAGACATTCTTTCTTAGTAACGGCATAATTCCTTTCTACTGGTGTTAAAGAATGGCTTGCATATGCCACAACTCTTTTCTTGTGGTTAGCATCCAGTTGCGAAAATATGGCCCTTAAGGCTAGATCTGAAGTATCTGTGAAAAGAATAAACAACCTAGTGAAATCTGGATAAGCTAGTATAGAGGCTATTACCAATTTTTTCTTGAGTTTCTCAAATGCTTCTTGTTGCTTTGGTGTCCAACAATAAGTCACGTTCTTTTTTAACAAGACATTTAGTGGCCCGGCAATATTGGTGAACCTGGGAACAAATCATCGGTAGTAGGATACCAACCCCAGAAACCCAGTAATTGCCTTAGGTTCCTCGGCGTAGGAAATTCTTGGACAGCCCAAATTTTATCAGGATCTGTTGATATACCTTGGGCACTTACAACGTACCCTAGAAATTTAAGTTTTCTTTTACAAAGGAAACACTTTTGAGGCTTAATCTTTAAATTAGCCTTCCTTAATCTCTCTAATACCTCTTGTAAATGGTCCAAATATTCCTCAAAGGATTTGGAATAAACATTCGAGTCGTCAAGATATACGACAACAAACTTTCCAATTATATCACTAAAGATCTGATCCATCAACCTTTGGAAAGTTGCTGGGGGCGTTCATAAGACTAAAGGCATTACGTTAAACTTAAAAATGCCTTGGGGAGAAATAAAAGCAGTCTTGGGTTTATCTTCTTCTAACATTTCGACTTGCCAGTATCTAGTAGCAAGATCCAACGTAGTAAATCACGACAATCTATTTAAGGAGTCCAAAAGCTCATCTACTCTTGGTAATGAATAATTATCCCTTATAGTAACAGCATTGAGTTTTCGGTAATCTATACAAATACGCATCTTTCGGGCCTTTTGTTTTATAAAAACTACAGGCGACGACCAGGAACTTTTGGAAGGTCTAATAATATTTTTGGCTAACATAGCCCTTACTTCTTCTTTTAAAAATTTTTTTTCAGCTGGGGAATATCGATACGGACGTTGTCTAATTGGCCAGACGTCTCTGGTGAGAATTTGATAACAAATAATGCTACTTTTTCCCAATTCGTTAAGGCTTTGGGCACTGAAATCAGAGTACTCGTCTAGTAGTAGTCATAGTTGACTTTGTTGATCTTCGTCCAAACTTCCAATCGTATATTCTATCCCTATTGGTCTTTCGTTTTCGTAATAATAATCAAAAAGTTTGGAAGTAGTCGTAAATTCCTTCAACTGAGAATCTAAATATGTTACCGGCCATAGGTCTTGATAATTGTTTTTTTCCTTATTTTCTTGATTCTTATCTTCTTCTTCCCACAGTAATTCACTATCACTGTAATCTATCCATTTTTCAAATTCTTTATTATCTCTCTTACTATTATCTTCTTCTATCAACTTTTCTATTTCTGAATAAGTGAACAGTTGTTCTTCCAATTCTTCATCTTCATATTCTTCACTTGAATCTTCTTCGTTATCATCTTTGTCATTCTCATTTCTAATTTCTTTAACTACTACTAGCCATTCCTTATAAATGGAACCTAGACATTTTTCTAAATTCAACAGGAATCATGATTTCCTTATCGTTCTAAAAAACAGTCATTTTGGATGAATTCCAGTCGATGGCTGTGTTTACTTTAGCAAGCCAATTTTTCTAACAATCGCACAGTAGGAGTTGGCGTCAGTTACAATTACATTAATAGGGATTTCAATTCCTCTGATATTGAATAGGAAATTTGAAATTTCACCAATAGCCTGTTTACTTTCCCCATAGATATTGATCATATTCACCACTGAAGGCCTTTCAATCTGAATTCCTAACTCATTAAGTAAATAAGACGCGACAACACTCCCAGATGATCCACTATCAACAATGAGGGGAATGTTTTTACCATGAACAGCGGCATCACAATACAAGGCAGTCAACTTCAACGTAGACTGCACATTAACATTACCCTGAATCCTTCTTCTGATAACGGTCCTTTTCTTTTGCAAGGATCGAGTTAATTCTTGCCGCATATTAGGCACAGCTCTTAACAATTAGCCATACATAATGTTGGCAGCTTTATCCCTTATATCTGCGACTATAGAATGGGGGTGACCAAAGAGGAGATTTGGGGCAGTTCTTCTTCTACATTCTTTTTCTTTTGAACCGGAGCTCGTTTTGGCAGTACCTTTAGACTATTCTTTTTACTCAGCTCTGTTTTAGGTGATAGTTCAGGGTCTTTATCTCGATCCCTTTGGACGTCAGCCATGTCTTCATCTGGGTCTTTTACTCCTTCAGTTTCTACTAATTCTGCGGAAGTGCCCAAAACTTGTCTGTTCTTCTTTTTTTAGAGAATTGGAGTGTTAATGATGGGTCTCTTGCGAACTTGTCGTTCTGCCGGAGGAATAAAGCTTCATCACTCTCTGGTATACCCAAATATGAAGACTGATTCTGAAAGCTATCAGAATTATTATTCAATAGGGCCAATAAGGCCTGAAGGGCATCTTGAGAGCTCAAACCATTAACGGTCAGGGCATTCTGGATAGGAGTTGTTTGGGCAGGAGTAGTTTGAGATAGGGTAGTTAGTACTGCAGAGTTATTATTAATAGGGGCTAATAAATTAGAACATTGTTGAGCTATATGGCCAGGGCATCCACAATTATAGCAAACTATTCCCTGGGTTTGGTTTGTGGGTGCTCCCGGTTGCCAGGGTCGGAAAGGCCTTCTGGGCTCTTGTCGTTAGGCCATCATCCTATTTATGGCTTCAGTCAGTTGATTTAGGGCATCTTTGGTCTCATTTACACCAGTATTTGGTGTTGGTATTGTTCTAATAATACCAGAGAAACTGTAAGAGGGATGGGCTACAGGCTGTCCCAAAAGAGTAGCGTAGGTGGAGCTTTGCTTGTAGGCGTTTTCATATGCCTTTGCTCTAGAATATGCGTCTTCAAGGGTATTAGGAGTCAATGGAGATACAGCCATGAAAAGTTCAGGTCAGAGCCCATTAATAAACATTTGAGCTTTAGCTGTATCGGGATATTGATGTCCTCCGGATTCTACTCATCGAATCATTTCTTCTAGGACAGTGTGATAATTGTCCACACTTTCTCCCGGTAGTTGTTTCTTTGTGTCAACTGAGCAACCATTTCTCTTCCAAATCTGGGGTTCGAAATTTAGCCACGAAGTGAGAATAAAACTTTGTTTAGGTACTAACAGATCGTGCCATCTGTCAATGACAGGCTGTTAGTTTCTTTGAGTTGCCCACCAAGTCACAGTTGGGCCTTTAAGCTTCAGAATAATCACTGAGATTTTCCGAAGAGAAGGTATAAGATTGGCTTCAAAAGCCTTCTCAACATTCTCTAGCCAGGTTATCAGATCCTGGTCCTCTCTATAGAACTCCGGATATGGTATAGTGTTAAGTTCTTGGGGATTTCCAGCGACATTAATTTGCGATGGCTGAGTGATTTGTATTTGCTAGATTAAAGCAGCAATCTGGTTTGCCAAATTGTGCATCAGATTGTTTAGATTAAGAACGGGTTGTTGGAGTTGCGGAGGTTGTTGAGATGATTGGGCCATCTGTAAAGATATAGTATAAATATATATAATAGATTAAAATTTTCTTCTTTATTGTTCAGCTCCACACAATCGGACCAAATGTTACTATTGTTGGGAGAGCAATTGCAGAGAAGCAATTCGATTTAGCTCCAATAGTAAATGTGAAGGGTTATAAATATTGTTCGTTAAGGATTAAGCATGTGAGTTAAGGTCACGATTTTGGTAGACGAGGATTGGGTCCTTACTAAATTAATCCCGATTTGGATTATGCACTAATTTAAGGATAACTTTAAGGGTATTTTAATAATGGCGTTTGAGGTTAATAATGTTTATGACACAACAAGACATGTCTATATATAGTAAACAGGTGGGTTGAGTATAGAGTAATAAGATCATTTTAAGAATAATAATGGTGAGGACTTAATAGATAGGTCAGGGACTTAGACAACACGTAATAACAATTCAAGAAAAATAACAATACGAAGGAAATAAATAATAAAAATATAAGAAAAGAAAATAAAATGTAATAAATAAAAACGTTTAACAATAGCATTCAAAATGTATTTAATCAAGTGAGAATTCGACTCTTATTTTCAACTCATTAAAGACATCGAAGTCTGAAGGAATTTTATTAACGATAAAAAATGGTCCTTAAATACTTTTCCCTTTCTATTACATTACTGCGCAAAGACTTCTAATTCCCTTCTTTTTAACCTTGGTAAGGCTTTCCTGGCCCTATTTCACAAGTTGCAACAACCCGTGTGGGAAAAGCCTCTCATTACTCATAATTATCAATCCAAATATTCGCACAACTCTTGTTCTAAATATTTACTACAATTCTCTATTATAAATATTTGCTACAATTTCCTATGATAAATACTTACTACAATTCTCAGCTTTCCAAGCTGGGTCATTCATTATTACAATAAATAAATACTAGATGATAATAAATAAACAATCTACTATGCCTCTCTAAACCCCATGTCATGGAACCCGTAACACTATATGTAAATCAGCCAATGGCTAAAGTCTCTCATGACGAATAATGAAAATTACTTATTCGAATAAAATATGGTATTCGAATTATTCATCATCACTGAATACAAATATTATTCGAATAACAAATACAAAGTTCTAATTCTA